CGCGCATCTCTCGAAACGATGATATTTAAATTAGCTGCTAAAAGCAATGATAAAAATACTATTAAAAATAAAAATAATAATATATAATAACAGCGAGTCTCATAATTACACTCAACATCAACAGTGGAAGCAATAAATACAAATGAGAATGATGAAATGCTTTTCAAAGAGCATTAGCTTTACACAAGGAATCACTTCATTCATGGTAGATAATTGCCATAATTGCTGTAAAATTCTGAGAGCAATCCCTTCGTCAAGTACGATGATAATCGAAACTTGATTCACCGCGAATTATTTATATTTCTTATCATGTTAAAATGCAATTGAAAGAGAAATAAATCTTACACTTTTTTTAGATTTATGTTTATCAGATTAGGTTAATTCTGTATCTCGGCGTCTTCGTGCTGAAACACATGAAAATCAAAGGCTAGATCAGATACACAGCAGCGCCGAGAAACTCGACGTTTTCGACAAGCGCATCGACTATAAAGCACTAAGAATTTTCGCAAGCCCATGTGTCCGAGTAATTCCATTAATGTCTTTGAATCATAAATTAAGTTCATTCTTAAATCGTGTTTGCCTCGAAGCGTGTACATGTGTTGGAAACGTCGCATGCTAAGTATTACATCTAAATCATCGGTGAATCATTGTACAAACTTAAATATATCGAGCAACGTTCTACATTTCGCTTCCTTCCGCTTTCTTTTCGTTTCTTTCTTTTTTTCTGTTCTTTTTCTCTTTTTCTATTCAACTGATAATCGTGGGAAATAGACTCGTAATAATGCACATAAGTGGTCAACTAGTGTGATTAAGTAAGCTTTGACAAGCATAAAGCAGATTTACCTAGCATGATAGCCTCCATTAAGGATAATCGCGTTTGTTGTGCAGGTTCGGTTGAAGGCTGTCATTTCTTTTTCGCTGGATTCCTTTGTGGTGTAGATGGTCTACCTGTTTGACCCGTGTTCATTCCTCCATATTGGTATTTTGCCTTCTTCTCCGATGGTTTCAAGATCTACAAAAAGATGCGAGACATGGCGCGATAAACTTGGATATTGCATCAATGACATTAAAGAGAAATGAAAGGAAAATTCTCTCGTCAATTACCTGAAAACTGCACATCAACGTTTCGTCAACGCTCATCATTCCGCCGGCATTATCAAATTCGCCACAGTAATTTGGCGCAGAAAAAAGTGTGACGAGTTGTCGCTTGGCGAAGAATTCGTAGCCATCCTCGACCACTTGATGCGCCCTGCATATGAGATCCATATCGTGACGATTCAAGAACTTCGACACGACATCTGGACCGAATGTGAATGAGACTCCTCTATCGTTTTCACCCCAACCCTAGAACATTAATATGCGATTAGAGAAATCCTTACTATATTAATCTAATCAGTGCATTGAGATTTGCTCATATAAAAGCATCTCACCTGAACATCTTTATCAGGATCGGACCATAAAAGATCACAGAGGAGACCGGTATCAGGTACATCAGTTGGACGCATGATTCTTCTGATTTGCTCCATTCCCTAAACAAGATAAAGTATGAATATATATTTATTGCACTTTCTTTTTATACGAAACTTATTAGAGAAAAGAATTAAAGAATCTCTCTAGTCACCTGCAGATCAGGACTGAGCCCGCCATGGCAACAGAAGATTTTTTCATCAATAATCGCAGCGATCGGCAAGCAGTTAAAGCAGTCTGTGAAAGTCTTCCAAAGCTTGATGTTATATCGCCGCTTGCACTCGTCGTAAAAGCCGTATATCCTGTTTATGCTGGCGCATTCGTGATTGCCGCGCAGCAGGAAAAAGTTCTCTGGATATTTGATTTTGTATGCCAACAGTAAGCATATCGTCTCCAAAGATTGCTTCCCTCGGTCAACGTAATCGCCCAGGAACAGATAGTTCGCCTCGGGCGGAAAGCCGCCGTACTCAAAGAGTCGCAGCAGGTCGGTATATTGGCCGTGTATGTCGCCGCAGATCTTAAGCGGGGCCTCCAATTCCAATAGGATCGGCTGTTGCAGGAAAATTTCCCGCGACTTCAGACAGAGGCCACGTACTTCGGCCTCCGTCATGATAACGGTCTTGCCCGGTCGACATCCTCTGACTGTATACCCAGAAATGTTGGCGGTTAATTATATTATTTTATTCAAGATTGCAACGATCCTTCATTAGTGCGGTGAATTACTCTGTTAGGTACTTGTTCAGAAAAATAATAGTAAAATAAATAAAAGCACGAACTTGTTACATTTATTGCCAACACGAATTTACAGCTAATTTCAATCTCATCTTAAAAGCTTTTACCTCAAGATAAGAATCTATCTATAACGTAAGAATAGGCAGTCTATCTCTGGAAAAAAAATCAATAATGCCATTGTCATGTATAATTAACGCCATACTTATATCACATTACTTATACCGTTATGCACGTATTGCTTCTGGAATTACTCGAGCGTGATACGTCAATAATACATCATTATCCCGTCAATTTACCACGAGTCTATTGAGACTCGTTGCTTTCGAGTTGCCTTCGACTCACCGTACGTCGTTACGCATGGTTATGCAATTCTTCGATTCACATCGAGTAGAGAACAATAGAGAAACACGGTCGGCTGTATCGACATTCTTGTTTCTAACACCGGTGCAGTCGAATCGATACTTAATGAGGCATTCCCCATTTCTGTCCACCGCACTAATGAGGGATGGTTATGATACTCCTTCTTACAGGTACACCGAGCATAACTCTACTTTGGGGCATGGAAGATGATTAAGTTCTGCCGGTATTAGCCGTCTCAATAAATAGGGGTGATATACGATTACAGATTACGGTGAGGCCAGATCATCTTTGCCTATTCTCGAGCACTTTGCACATGGGTACAATCACGGTACTTCCGGCGTGGTCTACGGTGGTATCGCATCGATTATAATAGCGTTGAAAAGGCGTGAAATTACTGATAAGCTCGTTGGATAATGGATATGTCTCGGGAGTGTGCGAGCCTCTCTCTCGATGAGAGAGAAAGGGAGAGAGCTATTTTCGACACGGATTATACGATTCAACATTATGGAAATCTAAAGTTATGGTACCACTCAACTATTGGATTTTGGATCATAACTGGATCTATAACGCTCTAGGTGATTCAATTTCCCTCAAGTTCCCTAATTTCTAGCCTAGCTTAATTTCACACGATCACAATGCCACGTAAAGTAAATGCATCAGTGAATAGATCCATGCATACAACCGATCCATCTCTACAACCGTATGAAATAACACGACTGTATTCTTTCTAATTAAATTAGTAAACAATTAATATATTTATTAATTAAATTAGTAAAAATATTAATTGTTTGTACAATTATAATTTACATTTATAATGTACATTATAATTATAAGTTAAAACGATGATTTCCTGCAAACAACCGATGATTTTAAAGAATTTATCTGAATTTAAATACTGTATGTTTTTTCATAGCAACATTAAACTTTTATATTTAAAATGCGACAAAAATAATTTAGTTCAGTAAAAAAAAAAAAAAAAATTAAATTATATCAGATCTACGTATTCTCACGACATATACACGTATCACAGTAAATAAATTCACTAGCGCATTTAGTCTTCAACATTTGATAAAAGTGCCGAATATCTTTAGATGACGTCATTCGACATTTAAAGCGTTAATAAGCGGCGAAGGCAAAAGGAACAGGTGATTTAATCGACATCCAATGCAGATCATCTCTCTTTATGACGCTATGGATGTGTCGTCGAATCGTTATTTATAGGCATAAAAGGGAATTCACGGTGCGGCTGAACTAGTCTGATACTGGCTATCGGAAAACTGCATATTAGCAAGGTCACGGCGACTATAGAGCGAAGATGCAGAGATTCCATTACCCGACAGAGAAGTTATTGTCATTTTGCTATTACATGACAGGCATATTCCAGACGAAATGCTGGAAATGTCACATTACACCACCGCGTAGTCATCGAATGCTTAAAATAAGCCAAAATGAAAACAGATTTCTTCGGGAATCTAATCCCTTATAGACAATGCGAACATCTCGTCGCGTACGATGACTCGAATTAATAATTTATGAATTTATGTAAAAATTTAATTACAAGAAAAGCTCGATATTTATATACGTCCCAAAATTTATTCTTAAAATGGATCCTGTCCTTAAAATGGATCTACTAGAATTTAATTTTTGGAGGATTTATTTCTTTATAGCTCTGTCAGCCTTCTTTTCAATGTAAAATTTCAATAACTTTATATAAATAAATAAAATCGATCCTACAAGGTAGAGAGAATATATAGAGAAAATATATGATAAATCAGAAATAACTTGTCCCTGAAGAAGTTAAAAATAATTGTAAGGTCTGGTTAACGATGACTCTGGAGTGCGAACTTTATATCGCTTCAGGGACATGCGATGTGAATGTACTCATTACACTAAATTTTCAGCATTAAATTAACTGTATCGTCACATGTGATAAGCTAAACAAATTCAAACATAATAATAAACCGTAATAATAAATTTTTTTTAAATCACAAAATTGATAAAATTTCCATGTTACCAGTATCACAATTATAAATCACGCATGCGCCTAAGATGAACTTCACCATGAAACACTAAGAATTTAAAATAATTTGTCCCTGAAGTAGTTAAAAATAATTCGTTGTTGTCACGTTAAATTAAAATCTTATGAGTAGAGTTGATATTAATGAAAGCTCAGGAATATGTTCCCCGAAGTTAATAATTGCTTTCGAACTGTAAATAACATCAAGTATACATACAATGCAATATAATTAAAATTGCTTTCTTAGCTTATAAAATATCATTCCATAATATATATTACGTTAAATATGATACGGCTATTAAATATTTGCCTTAAATATCGTGAAATACACATTTTAAATACGTATCTCCAATGTTTTCTCCAATCACAAATGCATTAACTCAATCATTAAAACTAATTAATATTAGATACTAATTAATATTAGATTAAATTAAATGTTAATCTAAACAATAATGGCATTACATCATAAAACACAATTGATATGCGCTTATACAGATAACGATAAATTACGCTGATAAGATATTTGTTTCAATCAAAGATTATTTAAGCTAACAACAAAACCTGCATCTATATCCATAATAATTTAAAATTATTTTTCAAATACGTTTATAATTTTAAGATTTTGCATTTTAAAGGAAATAAAAATAAAGAGAAGAAAATAAAAGTATTATATTCAAATAATAGTGCGAGGGAAGGAAGTATAATTTTGCTACAAATTACGGATTGCACAAAAACATTTATTGTACCCAGCGTGCTCTAACATTTAAGCATCTAACATCTGCAACCATTGTTGCTCCATTTTTACGTAGATAAAACATTTCAAACGAGAAGACTACGAGTGCAAAAGGAAGAAAGTGATAAATCTTAAACGATAGGCTAAGTGCATCGACAGATCCAGAAATAACTTCGAGTGGTTCGAGAAGCGCTTGTGTGGATACTTATATTCCAAATAAGATTATATAGATATTTGTCTTTGAGTAAGAGCGTGTAGCTGTCTGAAGTCTAAGGGAGGCTTCGATAGGATCGACGACCGAAGAGCAAGCAAAAAGGATCACATTTAGAACCCGCGTATAGGAGTCAGTTCTCCTTTACTTGGAAAACAAAAAAATCAAAAAAGAAGAGAGGAAAAAGGAGGAGTCGAGCGAGCAAGCACGCGACAATGAGAGGCAACAGCCCGTAATCTGCAGCGCGTGGTCTAACGCTAAACGTGGCTACTTGAATGTCACTTGAACTATCCTCATATCATCCTTTTTACATTAAAATAATAACTTTTAAGACACTACGATCTATTCGTTTCTACGAGAACTTTAATATTATTGCAGCTTTAAACGCAACGCCTAAACATAAATTGCTTTTCACTTATCACAATAAGTGGACTTCTATAGAATCGACTCTGCTTTCCATTTAATTTGTGTCAGCATGTGTTGGTGACTCGAGTCTGCCTGATTTTGTTTTAGTTTCAATATAGAAAGAAAAATAGACCAATTTCTATTTATCAAATTACACGCAAGAATGATTTTTCATGTAGTGAAATTAAATGTTATACATTTGACGTAATTATTACTCTCTAAATTTTTTTAGATGAATAGAAATCTCACTTTAAAGAAAGAAAAATTAAAGTCTTGAAAAAGAGTGGCTTAATTTTCAGTCAGAGAGAATATAAAATGTAAATCAACTTATTTTTTACGTTTATCTAAACAAATTGTACCGTTATTTAATTAATATATTTCTAAGTTGCTCGAGACAATGGCTGCATAAGACAGAATGTTTATTTTACAACTGTTGGAAGTTTTCTTTGCTGAGATAGGACTCCTCCAGATTTAAAAATATAACCCAATCAGCGCGGAGAAAACTTCCAACAATGGAAAATAAACATTCTGCTGACGCGATCATTATATTGAATGCATCGCTTCTTCATCAACTTCTGCTGATAACCGCTTTTATCGATTATCATTTTCCAGCTGATCAAGTCGGTCGTTAAAAAAGTCATGTAAATGGAAAACAGAAATCGATGTAAAGACAAACATGATAATGACTTTAAACTATAAGAATGCATTTCCTTATTCTTATCTCGTACTTAACAATATGCAATTGTAATATGGAAGCCACACTTAGAGATAACCCGCGACACCAAGTAAGCAGACGTTTACATGCTATAAGGCCGCGGAACAATAACAAAATACAAAAGTCAGAGAAGCTCAATCGAACAAACTCTTTAATAGCGAATTC